GAAAGCAAGGACTCTGAGTAAAGAGGAACAGGGTAGTGGGGTAAATTAATATCAATATAAAAAGCAGAATTTGACTAATGGCATCCCTAAAAAGATGTAAAAGGATTGTAGGTGCAAACATGAAAGGCATCACAACAAAATTTGTGGACAATATCAACTGAACTATTCTCATGGCCTTAGTGAAGTGAAAACACTTTAAAGCAAGCACAAGATCAATACTGTACATAGGAAAAGAGTAATAAACTTGACCACATTAAATTAAGAACTCCTGTTCATCAAAAGACAACAAAAGGAAAAGGAGAAAGCAAGCCACAGAGTGGGGGAATGTCTTGTTAAAAGATATAACTAGCAAAGACAACAGCGTCTAAAATATGAACCAAACTCTTATGAGTCAATAACAAAAGAATACCAAATAAAACTGAGCATGAGAGCTGAACTAATACATCAAATAAAGACAATATTCAGATCAAAACTAACTAGCATGAACCCAAACTCATTAGTTACTGGGAAATGCAAATTAAAACCTTAATCAGTTACAGCTTTATCCATGAGAATGACTAAATACAAAGACAGACAAATCTAAATGTTGACAAGGGCTTGGCACAATGGAAACTTTGTTATACTGTTGCAAGGAAGGCAGTGTTGTCTAACCATGTTGTAAAGTCACTGGGATTATGTGCTCTCCTGAAAAATGGGCTTCACTGCCTGGTATCTTCCTGAAAGACATAGAAACATCATTTTGTAGTGATCTCTGCATACCCATTTTTATGGCAACACAGTTCACAATAGTTAAATCGTAAAAGCATTCTGTGTGTCCATCAACAGATGAATGGATAAAAGGGAAGTGGAAGGCATAGGGGAAAGGAAAGAAGGGAAAGGAATAAATATGAGAAAAGGAAAAAACAGAAACAAAGTTTTTGAAAATAGGGGTGTAGGGGTTAAAGAGAGGGCAAGGGAATGGGGAAAAACAAGAACCAAAAATATCATGTAAAAGTACAAATTCCCAATGATGAACGTCATCACACTGTATACCTAAAATGTACCAGTAAACTCAATGAATTAAAAAAAAGAAAATATGTTTATACGTGATGGAGTAGTGCTGCGCCATAAAGAAGATTAAACTCAAGTCATTTGTAGGAAAATGGGTGCACACTGAGAGCATCGTGTCGACTGAAATGGATCACAGAAGCTTAAATGCTGCATGGTTTCTTTCACAAGAGGAACTGAAGATACAAAGAGCAAAATAAAAGATAGATAATAGGAAATAGGGAGATAAGTCTCTGCCGATGGAAAGGGGGCGAAGAGATGGAAGGAGAGGAAGGCAGAAGGGAAAGAGAAAGAGAAGTAAAAAGAACTAAGATGTATAATGTATGTGTGCCGACTCCCCATGAGGAAGGAGATTATTATGTGCTACAGAAACGTCCTAATAAAAAACAAAGATTGGAGAACAGAGAAAGATTGGATAAACGTGTTTGAAGCAAGGAGGAGGATTTTGAGGAGGAGGGATAGCAATTTGTCTTTTGCTATAATACACTTTTTAATACTGAAATATCCACCATATTGTTCAATCACACCTCACATAATTCTTCACAGTTAGTTACTGTTCAGTGAAAATTATGTCACTTGTAATGATCCTAGAAGCCCATGTGCAGCACTAAGTACTGGGTACTGTTTGATGAGGATTACGCACCGCTGTCCTCAGGGGCAGCGCTCTGAATCTCGGGGTTCTTGCCAAGTTGCAGATCTGCGTCTTAGAACAATCAGCATTTGCAAGCTGCTTGGGAGTGACGGGAGCTGAGCTCAACTTCCGCAGTGAGCACCACGCACCGTTTGTCGTCAGGCAACAAGAAGTAAACCCAGATTAAATGAATCCTACATGGCAGTTATGAGGAAGGCTGAGAGGAAAGCGTGTTCTTTTCTAAGATAAAAGGCAGTGTCAAACCCTCTGCAAAGATGGCCACTGGAGCACACAGGGTGGACAGCATCAGAGCCAGAAGACAGAGTCCGTCCTGCCAAGCCAGCAAGTGGCCCTGCAGCAGCCAGGCTGGTCCCGTAGTGCCCAGGAGCACTGTCCAGTGACCCCAGAAGACTTCCTTTGCAAGCTCCCCAACAAAGGGGATTTTTAGGCTTTGTTTTGTTTTCTTTGCTATAGTAAGTATTAAACCCAGGGCCTCTGCACTAAGCAACTTCCCCAGCCCTTTTTAAATTTAAACTTTAAATTTTTATAGAGTCTTGCTAAGTTTGTCCAGGTAGAACTCTAACTCGCTGTTCTCCTGCCTCAGCCTCGCTTCAGTGCTGGGATTACAGGTGTGGGCACTGTGCTCAAGGGCATTTTTAATGGAAAATACCCTGATTGGGAGCAACCGTTTCAGGAAAAGCTATGAAGTTTGAAATGCAGTGTCAAGAAGCAAGGCTTTGTATCCTATTTGTATGTAAATTTGTGCACTTCTCTTGGGTCATGCAAACCTCAGCTTACCCCTTTATAAATGGGTATATATAAATTAATAAAATGGGGAAAATGAGCATAGACCCCTCAAGGCCGACATTGTTGATTGGTTTGTTCGCAGATGAACCATCCCCTTTCTTCTGTCACTGTTCTCGCTAAAGAGACATAGGACAAACACACACCACACTTGTCTTAGATGTTAGACTGAACCTGCCTCCCTTTTACCTGTCAGGCTCCCAGATGTGATGGGTGGCTGCACAGCAACCACATTACAACCTGAGGCACCAACATCAGTGCAGTCAGCCAATGAGATGAGAATGGGCTAGAAGGTCTCAGGTTCAAGATGGCAGTATTGGGCAGCTGCAACAATACAAGTCAATACCAGACTTCCTGTTTTCCAGGAAAAATGAATCCTTTGCTTGTCACTATAAAGCATATTTTTAATTTCTTGTAGCTGAAAGCATTCCTAACCACCAAGGCAGTTTAAAACTGTTTTTAATTAATAGGCATTATGAAAATATGATCTCTTGTGATACTTGATACCTATCATACGATCATATAAATGGTAGTTTGTGCCAAGTAAAATTAAGTGATATGTATTCATGCATCAGATGGATCTTGTTCACTGGAGATTTTTTTAAGAGTCACATTCACAGTGCACCCCCAGGAGAATCAAAGGATGAACGTCCTGTGGCTTGTGAGACACAGGCAAACACATTAGCAAAATGAGAGCCTAGGATGGCTTTATTTAAAACAGAAAATTTATAATAAATTAGTCCTGTTGGAGCCACAGCATGGAAAAAAAAGAATTTTGTGATGCCTTGTGTCTTTCCTGCGGGAACTGGTCTTGGCAAAAACAAAAGCTAACCTTATGAGAAGACAGTCAAGGAATCCTCGCTTCCCAGCAGCTGCCTCCCAAAGCCCCAGCGACTCATACCCGCACAGGCACTGGGCTTAGACACTCCAGGGGGAGCCCCGAGCTGGGCTCAGCCCCTGCCCGTGTGCAGTCATGGAGACCACCAGCAGCCCCGGGTGGATGGCTGTGTCTGCGCCACCCCGCTTCCCACAGCGGTGCCTGCAGTAGAACCGTCCACCCTGACAGGCCTACTCCAACACCAGCTCCAGACTGATGCTTGCTCCACCAGAACTTGTGGATCCACCCTGGATTTCCCTCCTGATGATCAGAACAATACCTGTGCTGCACACAGAACCCGTGCTGATGATATGCACACCTTGCACTGATGATATGCTCTTTCCTACATTTGAATACAAGCCCAGAGCTGTTAGGATAGATCATGAACCTTAGCTTGCCCTGATCTGACTTTGACTGCACAGAAACCAGTGTAAAAGCATTTGGAAGATGGTGGGGGTTACAAGTACTTTTTCCTGTTTAATTATTTTAACACGTGTCTACACACCAATTCCCTTTATTATTTATGTCCACTTCACTTGATGGAAGGAAGAAGATTTGTCTGCACTCTATTTGAAGAGGGAACAGATATATGATTCAACTGACCAAGAGTCCCCAGTGCTTGCAAATAGCATCTCCTGAGAAGACGTTCAGGAACTGGCTTCCATATTTAGACACAACTCAAGGATCCAATTGGTCTTTCATGTCCAATGGCCTCCAGGATAAATAAAAACTTGTGATTACCCTAGGGATTGCTGGTTTCCATTTTTATCCCTTAGTGATTGACTGAGCCCCACGGGAAAATAAGAAACCTACACCAACTTTCCTAATGGAAGCTGCATCTGATTAGGAAAGCATTTGAAACACAAAAATGGGTCACACATGGCCAGCTGCTGACACTGAATTCATGTTCTGCTTCCTGCTGTCACACTCCAAGAGGGTAAACCTGATCCAATGTTGGGCTTCGAAGCACCAGACACACGCGTCCTGGTAAGCATATTAACTTTGAGCAGGCAATCCTTCAGCAAAGTCACCTGGAAGTGTTTTACTGGCCTGGTGCTCCCAGAAATCCCTCAGTGCATCAAAGAATTTGAATGTATATAAGAGGTTGGAGGTTGATGTTCACAAATACCGTTTTTTGTTTGTTTAACTGGCAGAAGACAGCTGACTGTTGCTTAAAACCTTCTTAACAATTAGAACTACATGACTAATCATGGCTTCAAGGGCAGAAATCTCAAATCCAAAGGACAAGGGTCCCAGGGCTGTCTCTGGCCATTCATATTTCATCTGGACAAGACTGGGTTGTAGACATGACACTGGACATTAAAATTTTATAAAAATGACAGCGAATGGAATCAAGTCTGATAAAGCAACGTTAGATCCCAGAATGGCTCAGATAATTTTAGGCTACTCTTATGAAGTAATTAAGAAGAAAGGGATTTACATGTGCATCCAATCTGTGTTCAGGCTGGGCAGGGCCTCACAACTTCATGGCGTCATCTCCACCACATTGGCATCTGTGCCCTGGGCATAGTAGCAGCAGAATCACTGCTGCCCCAGAAGGATGAGCCCTTTGGAATCATCCCAGTGAGTTTCAAACCTCCTACCTCTTACCACTTAAGAGTTTTAATGCGTGCAATCTCCTTTTGTTACTACATACAAAAACATTTATACCTTTCTTCCACACAACATATTAGTGAACACACCAGACTGCCTTTTTCAAATGAAAAATTAGCGGCACAGTAATATCGGCCTTGATTCCCGAGAGCCTCAATGTCCTCCATCTTCCCAGGACTCAGCTCCAGCACAGAAGCTGCGCTTGGCCCGAGAGAAGACTCCATGGAGCTGTTGGGTCTGCTTCTGCTGCACCGTAACTGCTTCCCACGCCTCACCACATGTGCCCTACTCGGTATGCGAAGGTTCCCATGCAGTGGCCTCGACCGTGGTGGCACATAGTGGTTCTGCCCCTGGACACCATAGCAAGCTCGACTCTGCCATTGGGAAGAGGAAGATACAGACATTTACAACAAACACAGTCAACTCCATCATCCTTTAGCCTTTCCTCTCCGACTGACATCTGGCTTCTCTCTGCTTTTTCTGGTTGCAGACTCTGAGGTGCCAGTGAGTGCTTCCGGATAGATCGATCTCTTTGCCAGCACTCATTTGACTGCCATGACCACTGTGAGGTATCTGGATGCCCTGAGGTGGAATTTCAAAGATATCTTGAAAAGAAATGACTATAAAAATATGTTTCCATGCAAACAGTCTTGGCCTGACAGCTGCTTGCTGTGAGCCTGCTGGTATTTAGATCATTCATATATATATACACGTACATACATATATATGAAAGTGGAGAAAAAAATCTAATATTGAAATTTTTTAAATGAGACAAGCTATGTAAGAGCAGTTGGTACTTTGTAGAGAGAGCAAATAAACACCACTTTCATTTCCTTTTTTTAAACTCTAATTCTTTTTTATTTTATTACTGTATGCTTGCAACAAAATAGTGATCCTTGTTTTAATATACACGTACATACATATATATGAAAGTGGAGAAAAAAATCTAATATTGAAATTTTTTAAATGAGACAAGCTATGTAAGAGCAGTTGGTACTTTGTAGAGAGAGCAAATAAACACCACTTTCATTTCCTTTTTTTAAACTCTAATTCTTTTTTATTTTATTACTGTATGCTTGCAACAAAATAGTGATCCTTGTTTTAGGGAACTGGTACATGCATATAACATATCTTGATCATTTTCAACCCCTTTACCCCCTCTCCCTGGTCCCTTTCCTCAGCTGTTGTTGCTCCTAAAGGCAAAGACAGCACAAATCCCAAGATCGCTTCTAAATATAATGACTCAGAAGCAAGTTTTGAACCAGTGACCTAGGACTTGGAGTGGATGGTGGGCGAGGTGCACGAGCCTGAAACTTAGGTGCTGTAGTCTCAGCCTTCGCCATTCCTTTCCTTTTCATCCCAAGGAAGCTGGGTGACTCTGCATTTCTGTAGCAAGGAGCTGCATGCAGTGCCTTAGCAAAAGCTCCTCACTGGCCTAAGATCCCTAGCCTATATTAACTCAGTCTAATGGTCACCAACACCTGCTCGCTAATGTGTGCCGGTTGCTAGCCTACAAGCTTGTGCATAGCAACCCGAAATCCTCACAGAACCCTGCAAGGCAAATATTCTTCCTACCATCATTTTATCTATGTGGAAACTGCGGCAGAGAGGTCCAAAAGCATGTGGAAGGTCACAGAGCTGGTTGCTTGGTTTTCCCAAGGTCTGGACCCTCCTGGTGGCCGACTGGCCTCAGGCAGATTCTGCTTTGAGGGTGCTGTCATAAAGGTCGCAGTGTTGTGACAATGTCACAAGGGCTGCCTGGGTGTCTTTTGCAGTAAGAGGTAGGCACTGAGGGCAAGTTTTGTGAAAATAACGAGCTCTATTAGTTTTCTGTCTCTGTGACAAGTATCTGAGGGAACTCAACTTCAGGGGTGAAAAGCTTTTTTCAGTTCCAGGTTTCTGAGGTTTCAGCCCATGATCTGTTGGCTCCCTTGCTTTGGGACCTGCCATCACCTGATACATCACCACCGGAGTGCATGGCGAGGCGAGGTCTCTCCCCTTCAGCCGGAAGAGGAAGAGCAAAGAAGAGCAGAGTCCCAGTATCTTCTTCAAAGGTACAGCCCTGGTGAAGTCACTTCCTCCCACTAGGCCCCGCCTCTTAAAGGCTCCACGCCTCCCAACAGAGCCACAGGCTGCCCTCAAGCCTTTAACACAGTCTCCCCCACCCCAATTAAGTTTATTGGTACATTTAAGGCAAACAATACAGTTACATTTATCATTGGGATCTTGTGCCTTTACATGATATGTCTTCATTCTTATTTTTCCCCATACCCCTGCCCTCCCTTCACCCCCTCCACCCTTCCCTATTTACAAAGACTTGTTTCTATCTTTTACTTTTTTTACATTTTTTTCTTTTCCCTTATTTCCTTTCCCCTCCCCTTCCACTTCCCCTTTAGCCATTTTCTTCCTATTTTTCACACTATCATCAATTATACCATTTGAACCTTATTTACACTTTTAGTTTTTCACACCAGAAAGCAACTCACTGTCTTTAGGGGCTTTTAAAAGGCAAACCATAACACTAATCATGCAGAGAGGAGGCAAGCTAGATACTCTGGCTTCATTTGTCAGCCAAGTGGACAGGACCATGAGTTAGTTTGAGAAGGAACACGTGCTGTTAGAACGGTTCGTGCTTCACGTAGAACTTTGAAAGGTGGCCTTTTGTGACACTGTCACTGAAAGGACCAGACTTGGAAACTCAGATTCCAAAGGTGGTAACTTCAGTCGCCATCAGCTCCCTGGAAATCCAAAAGCTGATCCAACTTCTCTTGGCTGACTTGATGGAAAATGCGTTTATATTTGGCAAATGCAGATACAATTGGGCTTTTTAAAATTCCAGAAGACTTTAATTGCAGAAAATCACTTAAATTGAAACCCTTTATTGTCTTTTTTTTTTTTCACTCTTGAAGCTGAGCAATGAAATGAAACCAAACTAGAGTTTAATAAAAGCTAATTCCCTCTAGAATTCAGAGCACATCTTTAAACTGCCTGAAATCTTCTGTTCGTGAAACTTTGCCCAGCTAACTGCAAGGGTCCACAGTCTGTTTCTCATTTACACATTTTACTCTCTTCAGGAGATGGAAGGAAAAATAACCAGAAAATAATGGAATTGTTACAGTTCCTAGTCATCATGTACAACAGCCAGGTGCTATTCACATTGCAGGACAGGAGCATTTTCTCCTTGAAAGGTGGGATTAGGATCCCCAGAACCCTCAGTGACAAGAGAGCTGCCAGCTAGGTCCCTTCTTCGTTTCCATGCACACAACCCTTCTCTCCCTAGACCTCAGGCCATCACAGAGGCTTATGTGCATACTCCTGTCACCAAGGAGACACTTTCAGAGGTGTGGCCACCATGCAGGAATCGTGTGCAAATCCAATACAATGTACACATCGCACCAGCACTGCCACTTCTCCTATGCAATCTCCTGCTCAGCAGTCACCATCTAAAGTCGAGGGTGCTGAGTTATGTTCTGATGTCAGATAACCAAGAGTGTGATGTGCTCCTGTGAGTGTCCCAGGAGTCATCTTAGACTCCAACACTATCCATGGCTTACCTGCCTTTTGGATCAGACTGCCCATCCTATATTCTTATCTAGTTAATCTGGCTACTGTAACACTAGATTTTTTTTTTCTCCTGATAAGAGCCAAATGTGGACTCTCTTGTTCTCTAATCCACATGGAACCCAATTCAATTTTTTTTAATTAAGCAGGGCGTGTGGGATGTTACTACTTTACATTTTATTTCAGGCTTGAGAGGAGGAAAGAAAACAGGCTGGAAAAAGGAGAAATAAGTACAAGTGACATGGAAGGAAAAGTGGGAATGGAGGGAAAACTGAAAGAGAAACAGAAGAAGGAAGCAGAAGAGAATAAAAAAATAGCAGCAAGAGGAAAGAAAACAAGACTTTATAGAAAAAATTTTATTTGCAAAATAGAGTACCTCTGCTATACCAGAATTATAAGCTGCTATAAAGTAATTTATATTAGTACCAAAATAATAGCTATTCCCTGTAGGAGACAGCTATTTCAGAAGGTAACTTGTGAAACAGTTCATTGTTACCTTTCATATTATATATGCATATGTTTTACTAGATAACTTCCAGTGACAAGTGCCATCTTTCTCAAATATAATCACCAACAAGGAGACCTCTGATCATTAGATTCCAGTTCACCAATGAAATTATGCACAGATACGATCAGTTTTTGTCCATTTAGAGCTTATCCAGCAAGTCCCGAGCCATCTGGATATCTGTAAGCAACAGAAACTTCAGCGTTTTTATATGAAAAATAATTCTCTGTTTGATATTTTTCAAATCTTCACCCTGAGGTTTCATCTCTGTACTTACACAGTCACGGTTCTCGTTAATTTAGGAAGTTATCTGACCTCCTCAGGCCCTGTCTGCTTTGTTCACATAATGAGGCTGGGGCCCCAGCAACCAGACAAACTTTCTCCCTCAAAGGATTAATGATTTTCAGAGCCAGGCTCTAAATGGGTAACTGCAAGCAGGAGACTTAAGTGCTGTTTTGTTTCACTGCTAGGTGGTTGCAGAATAAAAATATACACTTGCTTTTGTCTTATTTAAGCTTCCCGGAACATGAGGAGAGGTGGTGTTTTCTACCCTGTAGACATGACTGCTTGCCCCAAGTAAACAAAGGTAAGCACTCTAAGTGATTCAGGGGAAGGGAACACTGAATCACACAGTAATCTTTTCTACTTACTTCAGGCTTATTGTGTTTATTGGAAAATACCAGGATATATCCCAGTGGGAACAGAGACCTAGGAAAATAAAGTCACATTCAGGGCCAACTTCACCATGACTTAGGGATCTTAGCAACTTAACTTGGGACTTTGCCTTGTCCTCCTTTAATTCTCAAGCTGTGTGGCTCTGAAGCTGACAGAAAAGTGGTTGGCAGGGGGTGCGAGGGCTGCCTGCATCTCAGGGACAGTGGTGACCTGGTTCATCCCTTCAGTAAGCAGGGAAACAAGCATCTCCCCGCTGGGCATGGTACAGCTGGCTCTATGTGGCAGCAGGTGAAAGGGTTCTGGTGAATGAAGACGAGGAAGCCTGAGCATCCTCAGGTGAATTTGCAGAGGACAGGAGCGGGGTCCCCAAAGTGCAGGAAGATCAGAGATGACAGCAAAGCTCAGAGATGCCTCCGTGTGTGCCCAGGGCCCAAGACTCAGGTGGTGCACTCCTGTCTTAGGGCAACGCTCAGTGTAAAGGCAGGAAATTCAATGTACAACAATGCTGGCAGGTAGGAGCCACTGAAGAGAGGGTTTGTTGCACTTTCTAAGTGGAAAGCTCTTGGCAGGCTACACAGGGCCACTCGGGAAGCACTGGGTCAACCAGGAAGTGTGGCACACATGAGCAGGAAGTGTCCGGGTGCAGGAAGGTATAGCTCAGGTCTGGCGGGTATGAGGCACTGCACAGCTCTGGGGCCCAGGGCTGTCCCCCTGGCCTGGTGCCTGCCATGGGGTGCAGGTGGCGATCCATGTTGGGTGGTTCAAGTTTCCAAGTTACACTCGTGGGAGAGCTGTTCACCATTGCTAAACACCTGCTGGTCCTAGGAGCAGCTGTGTCCGGAGTCAGCCTACCGCAGAGGATACAACATGAGAAATATTCTGCTCCCTGGTGTCAGTCAGCTCTCACCCTGGGCCCAAGAGGGCTACCAAAACAGCAGCCACTCCTTCTGCACTTTCTGTCCCCACCTTTCAGAAAGGGAAGGAACAGCTAAGAAAGGTTGCAAGAGACAAAGGGCCAGCCAGTTAAAAACCTAGTCTGCAAGTAAGAGGTAGGATAGCCATATCTGCCTCCAATTACTTGAATTAACTGCCACGAGTCAGCACAGAGTTACTCTTAGCTCACATTTACCAAAGAAAACCTTCAGGACAGTGAGGCTCCAAGTTTAACACATCCCCCTCATTCCTGAAGCAACAGAGAGAATGCTTCTTGTTCAGTAATCAGTAACTTCTTACTAGAGAAAAATACGACACAGTTTAAAAGTCATGAGAGTGGGGGGTGGAATTTAAACTGTACACATGAGTATAGCTGTCCAATCAGCAGTGCCCTTTAAGAAGGTACACCTCATTTGTGATAGGCAGAGAGGCTATTGCGGGCTGAATTGGACCCTCTCCTCTCACCGAAAAAAGCTACATGTTGACATTCTGATTCGTTCCATAATAAGGGTATGGCCCTCTTTGGAGACAAGACATTCTTTGAGGTGATGGAGTTAACAGGAGAAACCTGAGTCCAGGGCAGCTGCTGTCCTTAAAAGGGGGGAATCCAGGTACAGAAAGAAGGAGGCATGTTGTGAAGAGACTCACGGGGAGACAGCAGCTGTCTCCAAGCGGAGGAAAGAGGACTTGGCAGGAACCAAGCTGTTGGTACCTCGTGCCCTGCCTTCTGGCCTCCAGAATAGGAGGCAGTAAGTTCCTATCAAGTCCCCCAGAATAGGGCTCTTTGGCAGAGCAGCCTGAGCAAAGCCTTACGGACACATCAAACCCACAGCTCCTATACCCACTCACTCGCGCACACAGATCTCCCACAAAGCCATGGCAGGTGACAGGTGGGCTTGGCAGAGCCAAATTGCAAAACAGAAAAGTGGCCCCTGAGCTAAATCTGCCCCAGAAGGAGAAATGTTTCTAAAATTTTAGTTAGAAAACAAGTTAGATTTCAGCTCCTTTAAGTAAAGTCCTACGGTCCAGTGTGGTGGCATTTAGATTGCCACCTCAGATTAAAACCCCATCTGCTGTTTGCAGAGGATGTTAGCAAACAACCTCATGAGCTCCACCCAAATGGATAAGTCCATGTCCTGTTACACACTTAGACCCATTTATTGGGGGAAGATATGGATGTAGATGAGGAGCCTAGAAAACAGGGGAGTGGCTGGGCTCCTCCCCACCCCCTGGGACACAGCGATGGGGAGCTGATGGGCCACTAAGGAGCACTGGCCTTTGTGGCATGGGTCACCAGCAGGCACACTGCTGTCGTGTGGATCTTAAATGGCCACAAAGGCTCTCACATTAAAGGTTGGTCCCCAGCATGGCACTGCCGAGAGCTACTGGAAACTTGAAAGGTGGGGCCTCTGAGGAAGAATTGGGTTACTGGGGAGCAGCCCACGAAGGACATAGTGTGGTCCCAGGCCCCACCTCACTCCCTGCTCATGAAGTAAAGATTTTGCTCCTGCCACGATGGGGGCCGCCCCACAGCCCAAGCAATGGCACCAGTCTATCATGTCCCAGAACTCCCAAAACTGTGACCCAAAGTAGCCCTCTTCCCTTTAGAAGTTGATTATCTCCAGCATTTGTTATAACAGTGAAAAGCTACCTAACACATACACAATATTAGGGTTATGTGTTTTGAACTTTTCAGAATTATGCAGCTAATTCTTTAACCATTCTACCAACACAGGAAAAGCAAAATACATAAAAACAATGAAGATGTACATGAGATTGGAACACTATAGTAAAATATCTCTATTACTGACTTGTAGTCCTAAGGGTTATCATTTGGAGTGAGAGAAGCAACTTTTATAGGATGCTTTAGGGCAAAAGTTCCTCTCCTGGAACCTTTCAGCATGAATTGCTGTAAAAGAATCTGCCAAATAAACAGCTGTGTGGTTTCCAAAGTAGAGGAATATGGATATTTCTAGAAAAAAGCACATGGGAACCATCTCCAGGCACTTTGAAAGAGTCATCCCCATTAAAACAATGAAATATGAAACCAGAGAAATCCAAGAAGGTACACAGCCTGGGATGGAAGGCCCTTCGGTTTGGCCACACACCCCAAGTGAGGGTGTTAGGCGTATGCAGACATGCTACAGCCCTCCAAAGACGAGGGTCCTCTGGGGCAGAAAGATGCGCTGTATGTTGACCAGTGTGAGGCTGAATCACTCAGACGACAGCACACATCATCCGGGCTTTATCCACACCATGACTTCTACAGAAGGAGGGCCTACACCAAAGGTCAGGAAAATAACAATCAAAGCTACCACCAGGGTCAGAGGCAAGACCTCAGTAATCAGTGAGTACAGAGCCAAGGAGAACAAGGAGATGGATGAGTGAGGAGGGGCTGCTTATTTGCAGGGGTAACTCTCAGGTCAGTGCCTCCCTCTGTCTTAGTCACTTCCTCACCAGTGAGACCCCAAACCCAATACCCACAGCTCGGGGAGGAGAGGTTTAATTTGCTCACAGTTTCAGCCCGTGATTGGCTGGCTGTGAGACACAAACATCATGGCAGAATGGTGTGGCTGACAGCGCTGCTCAGTTCATGGACCCGAGGAAGCAGAGCAAGGGAAAACTGCTAGAGAGGAAGAGGGAAGAGACTAGATAGAGTACTCAATGCCACACCTCCATAATCCCCAGAGTGGATGCCGGCCAACTGCGTTGATTTTCCACCCTAACCACCACACTCCCCAAACAAGCAAAGCCCAGGCCTTCACCGGAGAGACTCACACACATATTTGGGTAGGCTCAATGCCTCACCATCTATTGCTGAGCATGCACACGCTGAAGTCATTCATTCTGCCACACCCAGCAGGTACAAACAATGGCAGGCAGAAAGGCCTCCTAGGTGGAGGAGCAAGGCTTACTCTGCGTCACCTAGGAGGATGTGTCCGAATGGCTCAGGGATTGGGGCTGGCTGCTTGGGATTTTCTCTGGAAGGCCTTATCTGAAGTTAAACAACTCTAAGGAGCTATAGCAGCCATAGGAAGAGGCAGCAGCTTCTCCACCCTCCCCACTGCAATTATAGGTGGTTGTCCCTAAAAGTACCTGCCAGGCATCGAACAACTTCTTCCTCAGTAAAGGATAACTGGCTTTTAAATAGTAACCTTGATCTGTGTATTAATCCAGACCAAGATTTTTCTTTTCTTTTTTTTTTTTTTTAATTTTTTGAGACAGGGTCTCACCATGTAGTTGAGACTGACCTGGAACTCACTGTGTAGCCCAGGCTGGTCTCTAACTCACAGTGATCCTCCTGCCTCAGCCTCCCAAGTGCTGGGATTACAGGCGTGCACCCCCATGCCCAGCCAAGATTTTTCTTTTCTTTTTTTTTTTTTTTAATTTTTTGAGACAGGGTCTCACCATGTAGTTGAGACTGACCTGGAACTCACTGTGTAGCCCAGGCTGGTCTCTAACTCACAGTGATCCTCCTGCCTCAGCCTCCCAAGTGCTGGGATTACAGGCGTGCACCACCATGCCCAGCCAAGATTTTTCTTTTAAGATCCCAAATTATTGTCTTTCTTCTGTTGGCTATCAGGAAGATTAGGTTTAAACTGTAGCACAATGGCTGAAAGTATGTCATAATTCCCTCACCATATAATAATACACATACTGATAATACATATATATTATTCTTTACCTCCTGACCTTCAGCAAAGTTCCAAGTCTTTAGACTTGCAGATTAGGCCCTTTCAAATCTGACCTCAAAGGCCCAGGTTGCAGGAGAAAGGAGGAGCTGACAAGGGACACAAGCAGGCTGATATGCAGACTTTGAGTCACGGAATTTATTGATAAAAATCCCATAAATCAAAGCCAGAAGTCTTAAGAAGAATCCCCATTAGAGACATAGGATGGATGTGTGAGCATATTACTTCAAGCTATAGAGATGGAGAAAAGCTAAACACACACAGCAAAAAGGACTGCAGGTGTTCC